TCATAATATATAAAAATAAGTCGGGTTTTCCTTCCTGGCGTTAAACCTCCAGGACGCACGAACCGATTTCCACGGTTTTGCATTCGTTGGAAAGGTCTCGGGCTCTTTGAGGTTTATAAAATACTAGCTTTTACCCGCGGCTTCGCTCACGTCGCAAAAGGATAAAAAGTAGCCTATGTGACATATGCACACAGCGCCATCTATACCAATAATTTCATTTTCCCTCGAGAATATCAAATTTGTCCGGGATAAAAAGTACTCTATTATTTAATCCAGACTTCTAACTTTACGTCTGCAAAAATTCAAAGCAATCGGTTTAGTAGTTAAGTCTTGAAAGCGGAACAAACAAACAAACTCACTTTCCGATTTATAATATTAGTAAGGATATTAGTAAGGATTAATAAAAAAAATGTTTCTTCATCTTTTAATCACCGAACGAAATGTTACATAAAACGAAGCCATCTGTGGCGAAACAGAGTTCGCCGGGTTTACTAGTTGATTAATAATTACTTAAATATGCTATTTTTAATTAATTTGTAAATACAGGTGGATGACAGAACTTTGCAAGTTGTTTCTTTGATTTTTAGAAAAAAAAATAGAACAGAGACCAAAATATATATAAAAAAGAACAAAAATGTTAGCAACAGAAAAAAATAAAAGAAATAATCAAACCAAGAATTTAACACGTTCTGCCCCCCTCTGAATTCTGCTATATTGAGTCAAAATAATATTAAAAACACACAAATACGAATGATTACACATTATTATTATTAGTTTGACCTACAATCGCAGTGTCCCCTACACTGCAGACACTGTTTGTAATACCGGACCCCTTGTTTTGAAGGGGACTCCTGTAGATGTAGTTTGGTTAACGTGGATTGGCCGTTGTGACGTCAATTTTGCAAATAAATAAGTATTTTCGCATTTGAATTGGGTAGTTTCCAGGGTATCAAAATTAATATAATAAGTCCGTCGGTTAGATAATGAAAAAATATTAGACACGTACTTTTTAATTTTCTCGTATTAAGTTGCAATACTTAGATAAAATGGCGCTAAGCTTAGGAGTGGGAGGTCGTTACGTCATAACGTGCAACAAAATGTAGCACGCTGTGACGTCACAAGATATTTCAAATTAATATATCGTCGAAAGTATTTAATTTTGTGAGAAAAGAAAGAATACGTGTCTAAAGTTTTAAATTAATGTACCAGACGGACATTAAAATAAAATTTAGGAAACTACCCTATTGTATTTTTTACTTTCATCGTTTTTTTTCAAAAAAGTCATAAAGCATTTAATTCAATCAAAGCATAATTTGGTAGTTTTGAAACGTTAACAAATACAAAATAAATAATAGTCTGTCAGTCTGTCCGTCAGTGAAGCTAGGTGCGCGTTCCAATATGTAGATTAGAATGGAGAAGAACGAGCAAGAAACTACATTCGTTACTCTTTTTTCGATTTATTTCTGATAACTACTACTTTATTATTTTACTTTATAATAATATTACAGTGCCTTGTCATATGTACTTTATTTAAATTTTGTGCAATTTGCAAAAATCACTCATCGATCTAAAAGCTAAATTAGGCTTTTTGATTAATCCACTACCTACTTTATTTACTATAACCAAAATAAAATTGCCAATCGAGGCCACGTTTGGTTTAACTGACTACTACCACAGACAACATTTCTCTCCAAAGACTATCATTGTAGACGGTTACATCTATGCTTACCCCAGAGCCGTATTATCCCTAAGGCAAGGCAAGTACTTCGGGCGCCAGGTTACAGAAGGGCGCTGGTTATTGTCCATAGTGTGACGACTCCGCTCAAAATAATTGGTGATGACGGGGTAAGAAAATTAAACACCTCCTTATTTTCAATGAACGTGCTATTTAGTTTAACAGTTAGATAGATAATGAGAAAAATTAGACATTAATCTTTACTATTAGACCGACGCTGCCTATTGGCTAGCGTCGGCTACGCGACAGCGCTGCGACCGCACACGCTGCTCATGAGGAAGAATCCCTCTGTGGCTCAAAATTAGTAGAGCTTTTCTCAGTATATTCACGTGAGTAACCCGCGATTTTTAATTAATTTAGTATGTCTCACGATAGTTATTTTAGAATCTAAACTATGTTCATCATCATCAACAGCCTATAAGTGACCACTGCCTCTTCTCACACGGAGAAGGTTTGAGAATTAATCACCACGCTTGCTCAATGCGGGTTGGCGATTACAGACTTATAATTAGAAATTATAAGCCCAGGTTTCCTCACGATGTTTTCCTTCACCGTTTGTCAGTGGTGTCTGAATAATCTTAGAAAGTACATATAATTCGGAAAAAGTCACATACTTACATACATACTTGCCCTTTGGTAGGTTTCGAATCCGCGCCCATGCATGAGAAGCGGGCGTCTTATACCTCTGGGCCACCACGACATTCTATCTATGCTCAGATAGAACGAATCAAATTTAGGAATAGAAGCTAGCTATGTCATTTCTAACTATAAAAACGTACACAGAAGTGACGTCATGCGATATTTCAAATCAATACATCGCCAATAGGTAGTATTTATTTCCGATGAAAATACTAATGTTTTTTTTTTGATGGCATAAACCGGTAAACGAGCAAACGGATCACCTGATGGTAAGCAATCGGCGTCACCCATGGACACCTGGAACACTAGAGGCGTTATAAAGTGCGTTACCGGCTTTTTGGGGTTAAGAGTTTGGGGATCGTTGGGAATTCAAGGATTGGGGAGATTGGGGAAGGGGAGGGTAATTGGGCCTCCGGTAACTTCACTCACATGACGTGAAGCAACACAAGCGTTGCTTCACGTCGGTTTTCTGTGAGGCCGTGGTATCACTCCGGTCGAGCCGGCCCATTCGTGCCGAAGCATGGCTCTCCCACTCTTAAAAATGTTTTAAAATAATCTACCAGATGGACAATAAAATAGAAGTTAGTCATAAGGTGCTTCCCTACGGCGCTCTGTAATCCGCCCCTGCCTACCCCTTCATCCCTTTGTCTGCTTGATGTATTAGTCCTGGCCATCATTTGAAGCCTTTAAAATATTACCTAGGTCTCTCTTTGTGTCCTGGACGCAGGCATTTTGATATTTAGCTTTGTTTTTGTTTTTAATTGTTTGTTTGTACGTGTGTAGTGATGAAAGGGTTTTTTGTTTGTGTGATTGTTATGGTTGTAGGAGCTGGAGGGATTAGGTGACCATTTGCTATGGTGAGATTTCTGAGTTGGCAAAATAGTGATGTTTTTTTTTGCCTTTTATCCCCGAAGGGGTAGACAGAGGTGCACATTACAGCACTTAATGCCACTGTACAATGTAACACTCACTTTTCACTGTTTATGTTATGAGTCCCATGTAATAGGGGGT